CAAACCCCGGGGGCCCCCCAGACGCAAAGATCTGGTCTTTTTTTTTTTACTGCACACAGACCTCCAAGCCTTTAATGCCTTGCTGCATGTAATGAAGATTAGATAGACAGTTAGTGATAAAGTGAGTTGGATACTACAATTTGGGTGAATGCTGGACTGGTGACTGCTGCCCTGAGCATGTAAATATGTACAGGTTTGGATGTGCGCACCTGTATGGAGACTGCAGAGATGTACTTCTATTCCTATAGGCAAGTTTACACTTGGAGCAGCGTTTACCAGTATACATCCGCCGCCTATCATTGATTTGTACAGACAGCAGATATAGCTCCCAGGTGCCGAGATGTGGCCAATTTTTGCAATACACAGCCCTCTGTGCCCGTGCATGCCTGACATCATACAAATAAATGGATTGCTTAGGTTTGCCCTCATATTACATGGCTGTGTTAAATGTAAAGGAGATTGTGCCAAGATTGCATAGTCAGACTGTATAGTGTCTGGCCAGCTTAACAGGCTGAGCTGTCCACCACAATTTCACTCATAGAGATGTGGACTAGTCATGGACCTGGGCTTGGTGCAAACCCAGTTTACCTGAGCTCGCTCAAAAGTGTGACACCATTCCCCCCCCCCTCTTCTGGCCTTATAAGTTGCAACATGTGCAATGTCTGCCCCGCAGCTAAAAGTCGCCAAGGGTTGGGAAATGTGGTGGTCCCAGTTTTTGGTGAACTAGGATCACACCAACCCCAGGCTCATAACTAGTTGGACCCAACCATATAACACTGACACGAGTGCTTACTTTGAACAGCTTTTATTCATAAAGCTTAAACCAATATTCTAAAAGAAAATACAAACTGCAGCTGTAACGGCTTAAAGTGAACATGCGCCCAGATCATGCATACTTCAGTATTTCCATATTCCAAACAAGCAGTAAAAGCACTATAACCCCACATATATGGAGGAGGGCCTTAACATTGAGTTCCTGCATATATGCATCACTGAGGTGTAATGCGTGTGTGCTCAATCGTCCCCAGAACTTTGACCGATCTGTCATCAAAACGTCATGGTTAACTTCTGGTGCTCAGGAGCCAGCAGTGCAGACTCCCAATTACTTCATCACTGTACAGCCAATCACAGTGATCACATAAAACACTATCGCAGTATACAATGAGATGCCCCACCTATACCAGAAGCTAATTCCAGTCAGCTAAAGTCAAGCCAATTCCCCAGGCAGTTCCTGTTGCTAGTAGGATGGTAATTAAAGACCTGCCAAAATGAGTTTGCCACGTAGAAGCCTCACGGTGGGAAACCATATTTTACTAGGGCAGGTCCATGTGTGCCTAAAATAGTCACTACGGTAAACAGATATTTCCTTCCTTTTTTTTTTTTTTTTTTTTTAGGATTCTGACTAGATTAAGTACATTTTGCTTAAAGTGTATTTCCACTTTTGCAGTTAACTTTTAGTAAAACCTCTCCATATGTTTGTTCCTTTTCACACATGCAGCATTCTAAAAAATAATTAAAAAAAAATATTCTTCCCTTTTTAGATGTTGTTTTGTTAAATCAGGCAAGATGGCTGACTCCAGGTTTTTCTTGGGACTGAAATTTGAGGGACTGAAATTTGAGGATTGTGTTTATCTGATACGCTGCATTAACATTTAATGCACAAGCCACTTTTGAATGGACGAGACCCTGCACCCATCACAGCCCCTCCTAACACTTCAAAGAAATAGAAACAAGAAGACATTTTAACCCTTAACATGCTAACCCGAGTAAAGTCCATTTAACCTCCCTGGCGGTCTGATTTATTTCATTTTTTGTTTCCTTTTTTTTGTTTCTATTTTTTTGTCTAATTTTTTTAACTTTCAAATCTCCCGCCAGTTCCGCCCCCCTGCGACGCGGACGCTCGCAGGGGACGGAACCCCGGAAGACGGATGCCGGCATCTGCCGGAGGACACAGCAAGGATCGTGGACAAGGTAAGACGCTACAGTGAAATCCTGAGTGTGGCTCGGGGTTACCGCTTTTGGTAATGAAAATTAACCCCGAGCCACACTCGGGATTACCGCCAGGGAGGTTAAACTGCAAGAAGCATTTTTTTTAGCTTATGCTATGTGAATGGGAACATGTAACAAATATAACGTAGGTGTTATCCCAATTTGGCTGCAAAAGCGTCTTATGACTTGTAGTAGAGGCTCCGAAGGCCTTCAAAATGCGTCCTGTCAACTACTTCTATGAGGCATGGAAGCTAACTGGAAGTAGTGAATTTTATTCTGATTTAACAGTTTAGTGCTGCACCAAAATTTACTTGCATGATTGCGTTACTTCAAATATACCATTATACTTTTTAGAAAAAAGAAGAAAGACAAAGACAAAAACAAAATGATGCAACAAATTATGACCAGCAAGAAAAACGAAGAAGAAAAAAAGAAGCCGACTTTAGATAAAAGAACACCAGCTCAGAATGCTTTTGAAAAAATGCAAGAGAAAAGGGTAAGCCGACTACTGTGTTGGGGTCTGTTTTGGCGGGCGTTGGGTTTGTGCCAATGCACAAAATTCAGTTTGCTTTCTGCTCGTGAGTTTTAGGTGCTTAAGTCATTTTGAGTTCGTTGACAAGTACATTTGACCTGCAGTTGACTTTTTTTTTTTATATTTGCTGGGGTTCACACACCACAGCCCACAGTTTATGGCCCATTCATAAAATGTAGGCCGCAGTTTGTAGCCGCTTCTTACCACTGAATAGAGAGCTGTGTAATTGGAGGAGAGGCAATCATCAAAATTTAAAAATCTAGTTGACTTTCCTCCCCTTCTTCTTCTTTTTTTTTTTTTTTCTTTTCACAACCACATTCCTTTCCTTTGCATTCCAACAACCTTGGGCTCCTAAAGCCATCAGATGGCAATGAACATTTTGTAAAAAAAATGTTTGTGTAAAAAAATTTTTTTCTTGCGGCAATACTTTTAAAGGTCCCCGTAAGTGTTGGTTTCTAGTGAAGACAATACTTATTGAGTGATATAAACTCTATACTTACCTTTCCAGTGGCCTGTGTGCCAGAATTCCACCATGTTGCTGAACTTGTCTGCTGCAGGTATCCTACATTTTCAGGTGTATTAATACCTGCTTCCCCCCTTTATAACCTACTGGGAGGAATGGCAGCATGTGGTGGGGGAGCAGGTGTTAAAAACACCTGAATTGTGGGATTCATAAGGTGGTCAGATCCAGATATGGGGCAGATTCTGAACATAAGGGCCGGCAGAAACATAAGCATCTTGCTTTACAGGCTGGCTTTAGTTTTGTTTTGACCCTATAATGACAGCAACTTTAAACTACATATTGTAAGGTATATTTCTTCTGTATAATTCTCATATTACCTAGTTATGTAGCTTTTGCCAATAAGAATCTTTTATTCTACATGTGGCTGATAGCCAGAAAGCTAAAGATCTAAGCAATAGCGTAGGCTCAACCTGAAAACGTTACTCTGTCCTATAGTCATGGTTTTAATTGCACAATTGACCTATTGGATTAAAAGAGAACTATGGCCCAACCTTTTTTTTTTGCCTAGTTCTCTTTAGGGTAATAGGAGGACATATACTAATGTCCTCCTGTGACCCAAAACTCAGCTATTGTCCGCTATATCCTGACAATGCAGAGCCACGCTGCATCCGGAACGGATCCTGCTCATATTGTCGGATTCCATCCTGCTACCTGATTGACAGCTGACTCTGCCTCTCTAGAGCCAGCTGTGCCTGCCCCCTCCTCCAGTCAGGGCTGGAGGAACAGGGAGGAGAGGGGGCAATCCCTGCGGGGAGTGTTGACTGACAGTCACCACTCTCTGCAGGGAGATGATTGGGAACTTGAGCGATCAGCAGTATGTGACCACTCTGTTCTCGATCAATAAAGCCAAGGTATGACAGCTGCAGTGTCAGCTCTAATTATGGGGATGAGTGTATTTCATATTTCTCCTGTAAGATTCCTGTTTCCTATATGTTCTATGATTCCAATTCAGCATTGCTACTTGACAAATTTGCTCGGACTGTCAGGGAGAATTGGAGAAGATGTGTGAGCCTGCCAGAGCGAGGAGTCAGGTAAGTATTACAGACTCTTAACCCTTGAAGTGCGAAGAGGGTTGGGTGGGCGGCACTTCAAGGGTTTTTTTTTTTTCTTGATCCTGGAGTTGAGCTTTAAAGATTTTAGATTGGATTTCCCAAAATATTGATATGCCTTCTGCAACTTTTTTTTTTTTTTTTGCAGCAAATGGAAAGAATTTTGAAGAAAGCTACAAAAACACACAAACAAAGAGTTGAGGTAGGTGAAAAGAAATGCAGCATTTAATCTGTAGACTGCATGAGTAGGTTGAAATGTTTTGGTGCTTAATCAGTTCACATCCATTTTAAGGGTTTTTCAGGGCATCTTGAATCAGTAACCGCTTCAGGCCTTTATTTATAGAAGAATACACTACGTTATACTTTGGAAACTCTATATAATGTGATTTAGGGCATCACTTGACAAATCCAATCCACAGCCCTTTGATATCCATGAAGGTCGAGTGGCTGGTTGATATTTAGACAGAACTCTTAGGCCTCATTCACACAGCTTGGAGTCGGCCCGTACAGATCCGTGCGGCGTGCGTAGCTGTATCGGGCCATTCCCGAGAAGGACAGGTGCTGCGTGTGATTGTACGCAGCAGCCTGTTCTCTATGGGGGGACGCGGCCGTACGCTCACCCGAGCTGCACATCCGTGCGGGTGTCTACTCGTACGCAGACGGGATTGATCCTATCTGCGTCCGAGCACGGACACCCGCACCTACACGCATGTGGATCTGTAACAATTGGAAGCTTGATGGGTCTGTTTATTGTTATGAAGTTGAATTAGTTGCAAAGAGTGACTGTGTATTACAGAGAAGAGTTCAATGAGGGGTGCGTGTAACTTGTTTTATAATGGCGATTCCTGCAATAGTAATCTATGAATGCCTTGAAACATGGGGTTTGTGTTGGTGACATGGTGTATTGTGACTGTGCAACTTCAGCATGTAGCTGTATGTGCATCTGTTTTTGTGATTTATGTAGATAAAGTTGAGTTTTCCTCAGTTGTCTTTCAGGACAGCATATGAGACACAGGCTCCTCCCACCTGGGCAGGAAACATGTTACCAGGTCATATGTTGAAAGGACGTTCTTTCAATGCTCTCCAGTTTTTTCCATCCAGAGGAGATGCTTTCACAGGACCCATGATATTATCTTACCTACCTTTTTAGTGACCAACCCTCCAACAACAAAGAGGATTGCTTTCACTCATTGGATGTCAGATATTGCTTTTTGGCCTATCTGGAAGCTACAAGAACTTTATAAAAAAATAAGATGCCCATATTCATTCTATTTTGAGGCCAAAACTAAGTCAGGCAAGATTCCAAATTTTCTATTACCCATTGACTTAAGCTTTCCATCTGTAAATCTTATAAGGTTTAGTAAGCTACTCCCCCTTTGTTGGTCAGTGCACGTTCCAAGACTGCCTTGGTGGCTTTTTGAGTGGAGAAAGCTGGCAACACTCTAGAGCAGATTTATAGGACCATTACATGGTCAAGTGTTTCCATGTTTCCAGGCTTATTCCCTATTATTAGCTGTATCATTTATCAAGCCAGGATCAGACCTTTGGGAGAAAGCAAGCTGTGGTCCCACCCTAGTCTGGTAAGTTCTTGCTCACCCCCTCATATGCTGTCCTGGAAGATGACTGGGGAAAACCAGAGTTGTACTTACTGTTAATTCTGTTTCCAGTAGTCCTCCAGGAAAGCAGGGTTCCCACCCTGTAATATGTGTTTGTACTCTTCGTTTTCCGTCCTTCAGTTCCTTATTATAACGACCACCTTTTAACATTTGGCCTGGTGATGTGGTTGCTGTCCTGGTGGTAGTAGCCTGTCTCCGCCATGTGCTATCCTGGAAGAGTACTGGAATTTGTTATCGGCAAGTCCGACTGTAGTGCAAGTGTGCTTGATGATACTCTTTGACTAGCATCCACTAACGTGTCCTTTTCTAAAGCCATGTGACAGGGCTTTGTGATTATTGAGCCAGTTGTTAAATATGTACTTTTTTTTTTTTTTTCCCTTCCACAGGACTTTAATCGCCATCTGGATACACTGACAGAGCATTATGACATTCCAAAAGTCAGCTGGACAAAATAGGCAGTTTTTTTCTTATTTTATTTATGTGGCTTTAACCTTGTATTTACTTTTTACCTTTTGTGTCTTCTAAACAATGTAAATAAACTGTGAGTAAAAAAAAAATGTGCTAATTTAAGTCATGGTTTTGTAATTTATTTTTACCTTCTTTGGGGATTAATTGGAGTATCCTAATAAGGGTTTACCTATTTAGTGAGAAACATTTGTCATAGTTATGTAGAAAATACAATCTGCAGTATATAAAGTACAAAAAGGAACTCTGGGTAAAAATTGTAACACCCTTGCAGTGGGGCCTACCCCCCAGACAAGAGTTAAGTGCCTGTTTTAACCTAGGCCAAAAAAAAAAAGTTATACTCACCCTTCCTAGGGGTTGGCTTGCTCTGGTCCCTGGAGTCTCTTCCCACCTCTGCTGCAGCAGTCTAAGGTCCCATGTTCTATACACAGTGTGTAGGATGTGAGGATATCCTCACTGCAGCAAAAGAAGAGACAGGCTGAAGGTAGCGCTGTCACAGCCAGCTGGCTTGGAGGATCTGTTGAGTATAACTTTATTTTTTACCCTAGGCAAAAAACGAGCAGTTAACCCTTGCAGTGCAGGGGTAGCTCCACTGCAAGGGTTCTTTAAAGTAATTGTAAGCCCAATCACTAAGGCTGGGTTTACACCTGGGCGTTACTATAGGCGCGTTTTCAGCTCGTTTTTTGGCTCGTTTTTTAGTTCAGTGAAACGCGCGTTCGACGCTCGTTTTTTTTTCCGTCCCTGGCAGTATGAATTTTTTTCTCTTTTTGTTTTTTGTTTTTTTTTTAAACTTTCAAACTTCCCGTCGGTTCCGCCCTCCTGCTCGCAAGGGATGGAACCCGAAAGACGGCAGCGGCCGGAGGACACAGAGGGGATCGCGTACAAGGTAAGACCTACGCTGTATTCCCAAGTGTGGCTTGGGGTTACCGCTTTTGTTAACCCCGAGCCACACTGGGAAATACCAATGGATACGTGCTGCAATCAGCCCCTACGTGCGAAAAAGAAGCTCGAGTACTTTTTCGCACGTAGGACGTTTTTCAGCGCGACAAATCGCGCTGAAATACGCCCAGGTGGGAACCATGCCCATAGGGATTGACTGGATTTCACTTCTTGAGCGTAATGTAACTTCAAAATATATTTTCAGCTCATTAAAATCAAATCTAGTTTTTATTCCACTAATGCCTAGTTATCCTTCCATGAAGGTCCTTTATTTGATATTTCCTTTTATGGGGTGACAATGCTTTATCTCTGTCTTAGTTGCTCTCCTCCATTGTCACTATGTAACATCTACTATTGATGGCAACTATAAGCGACTGTGCTGAATCTCATTGCGCAGGCATGTTCCACCACTGTCACCATCAGAAAACATGACATTGTGCTGGAATGTGTTAGAACTCGCACTGATGTCACAGACAGTGGCCAACACCTACATTACCAGAAAGCAACACTGGGCACTGCAGACCAAACCAGAAGAAGACCTGCAACTCATCCAATAATGTGAGCACCTTTTTAGGTTAGTAATTAGGGATTTTAAAAATAAGAAATCTAGATTGGGTCTTGGGGAAAAAGTGAAATGTTTTGGGTTTTTTTCGGAATGAGCTTAAAGTAGTATTAAACTCTTTAAAACATTTTCAATAATGAATCCAGATGAAACAAATATTCATTGCCCAGCAAAGCATTGCCTTACATTTTTGCCCAAACACGTACAATCGTCATGGTTCTGAACAGCTGCTTCCAAGTCTCTCAGCTTCCCTGAACTTCCTGTCCAGTAGAAAATCATAAATGAATGTTCATGCTCCAGCAACTATTCATCTACTAGATGGGAGGAGAGGGGGGTCAGGGAGGAGGGGAGTAGTTTTTGATTTGCATTATTTGTGGAGACGCATGCAGGTACTAGCACACACAGGGGTGACTGCATAGCACTCTGCTTGAAAAAGGAGTCGCTCTAAAGCAAGAAGTCAGGACCAGCTAATTCTGCAGGAAACTAAAACTTTTAACCACTTGCTGACCGGGGTGTTTACACCCCCTTCCTGTCCAGGCCATTTTTCAGTATTCAGCGCTGCGGTACTTTGGCTAACGTTTATTCCGCCATGCAGCGCTGTACTGAAATGAATTTTATACCATTTTTTTGGGGAACAGATAGAGCTTTCTTTTGGTGGTATTTAATCACCACTGGGGGTTTTATTTTTTACTATATAACAAAAAAAGTACTGATATTTTTTTTTAAAAATGGTTTTCCCTTTATTATTTAATGAAACATTTATTTTTACCCAATTTTTTGGTAAAATATAAAAGGCGGGGTCACGTCGGTTAATAGACACCAAACATGTCAAGCCTTAAAATCGCGCGTGCCCGCGAAATCGCAAAAAACACCATAGCCAAAATTGGTCATGGGCGACGCTTTAAAAGATTTTACCGCTCATCGGTTTAGTGTTATCAGTGATTGATGAATCTAAAATGATTGCTCTCATTGCGATGTTCGCTGCGATATGTAACACGTGCAGCATAATTGGAGCAATCGTGGTTTTTGCGTTTAGACGCCACTAATGCATTTTTGCGCATCTATGTGGGGGTGGGGGACTTTAAAAAAAATTTGTGGGTGTTTTTTTTTTTTTTTTACACTTAACTTTTATTGTTATCACATAGGGTGCTAAGAAGTTCCCTATATGATAACAAATTACAGTTACAGGTCCCCTTTTATGGAGGCATCAGAGGTCTCTAAGACCCCTAATGTCACCTAGGAACCCCCAGAGAAACTGATGAAGCACAGATCTGCTTCATCAGCTTCATCAGCTTCTCTCCGGTTTCTGTACCGGAGAGTGACAGAGGAATGCGGAAGTGATTTTATATACATCACTTCCTGCATTCAGAGACCGGGAGGAGAGCGGAGGGAGATTGGGTATTGATCTCCCTCCGTTCTCAGTGCACAGAGCCGCCACATCGCCTGGGATGGATGGATGCCCGGAATCGCAGCAGGGACAGCGATGGCGACCAGTGGTAAGGAGGGCGCTTAAAATCTGGCCGCTTAAAATCCAGGCAGTTTCCCGCTCAAAGAGAAGCATCTATTGTAAGAGATTTCACTTTTGACTTTAATATCACTTGAAATACCTTGACAACAGGAGGCAATGGTAAAATAAATAAGTTTAATGTAGAATGTAATAAATATAATACAAATCTGCAAATGATTTGTGGAATGCAACACACCCAGATGAAAAGGTCTGCACTGCCATGGCCTGGCACTAAATTCAACAGGTCATCATCATCAATTAAATGGATTTTTGCAAATATACTGAGTTGTATTATTCTTACAAATAGTGACTGTCGCACTATAGTGTGGCTAAGAATCAATGATATTTGCATAAAAAGAGGCTGCTGTGTACCTTTTGGTTAGCATTAGTATCTGAGTGAGAAATATAGGATGTGCTTATCTATGGGATATATTCTGTTCATGTACATTGCAGTCAGCAGCTTTAAAGGAGAACTATGGGGTCAGTGTTTGTCCCCATAGTTCTCCTTAGGGTAACGGGAGGACACAAACTAGCGTCCTCCCGTTACTCTAAGCTCAGTATACCGCGAGCTGTGGTGTACTTTTTTGTTGTTTTTATAAAACTTTTTTATTGGAATATCTTTCTGCTCCAGTTTTGATAAATCACCCTCAATGTATTTTTAGAATTTATGACGGTATTCAGTGGAGTTCAGTTTTTCTGCCCCATCCACACTTGCCATGTGTGTTTCGTGGTCAAAAATCGCATGAAGCTTGCAGTTCATTGAAATGAATGGACTGCTGTATGCTTATTCGTGACAAAAAAAAAAATGCAACAGTTTGAGCTGCATGCTGACGCACACGTCTTGCCACACTTGGGGTGTCATTAACAAATAATGGCACCACAAGTGCACCACATGCAGGCTAGTGTGAATGGAGGCTAATACAGGTGAAACTTGAATAATTAGAATATCGTGCAAAGTTCATTTATTTCACTAATGCAACTTAAAAGTTGTGATGATTATGGCTTACAGCTCATGAAAACCCCAAGAACCCCAAATCCACAACCTCCAAAAAAGTAGATTTTTTTTTTTTTTTTTTAAGCCCGTGGACGTGCATCTAAACAAACTTCCCCCTGTGAACAAAAAAAGTGAACCGTGAAATCACAGCACACAAAAACGTGCACAAGGGTGCAAGGTCCTTCCAAAGAAGGGACCTACTTCCCGACCCCCCGGGGCGCAAGGCTCCTGACAGGGGTTGAGATACTTTGGACCACCAACCTGAAGGCCGATGATCCATTTCCTTTGGGGACCTGCCGAGACAGGTCCCCCACAGTACTTGGCAAGGGGGCTCTCCCGAAGAGAGACCCCCTTCCTGGGTGGGAGGAGACAGAGAACCCCCTACGAGGCACAGAATCTCCTCCCAGCGTCAGGAATAGGCCCCGAAGAAACCTGCACCTTTCGCATCTGTGGGTCAAAATGAAAATAAAAAAGTGCCAATCGTGCATATAGTGCTTAAATAAATCTAAAGTGCCAGTGTACCACGATGACAGGCCTTAGGGGCCGGAGTGCAAAAATATTGCCCCGGACTAGCCATAAGGCCTGTCCAAGAGGCGTTGTGCAGAAAAAGCAATATGGTGTATGACCGAGTGCTACATTGAGTCATGTGGGGTCCCATACCCAAGTGACTTTCTGAGCACCCCTGGGACGCCACCCCCAGGGGGCACAACACCACGGGCTTCTGCCGCCCCCGAACCCTCGAGCCAGACCAAGCTTCGCATCCGTTCAGTCAGAAAGCCATGTACTGAGCGGTTCCCCTCTCACAGGAAGCCGCCCCACACGCTCTTTCACTCCAGCGAGTACTAAGTAACCATCCCCCGCAAGGACGGTTCTTTTCCCCACCGAAAACTGATAAGAACAGATACTACACTTGATCTTAGCCAAAAGGCCGAGAAGCAAATTAAGTGGATTGTAAGTGTGCGACACGGATAAAAATAAAAAAAGCTGACAGATGTGTCAATTATTCCTTATATACAGGTGAAACTCGAATAATTAGAATATCGTGCAAAGTTCATTTATTTCACTAATGCAACTTAAAAGGTGAAACTA